AGTCATCTGAAAATCTGTTCAATCAGCATTTGAAATCATACGCAAACTTAAAATTGTTCAAGCGAGTCACATAGGGATACTTTCAAAAGATCTGTCTGATTTATACCACTTTCTTTCAGCTGTGTATGTAAATGATGAAATTACATCAGTGAGGCCCCTTCAAGTTCTTATTAAAAATAGCATAGGCATGATGTGCTGATGAAATGGATACACTCAATGCAGTGAGTTAACTCAATAAATCAATGGTCTTGAAATGAAAGCAGAGCACCACAATTCAAGGGGGAAATGGTGCAGCAATTTCTGCCTGGCACTCTCGCTCTCGCTCCCCCCCCCCTCCGCCTTATTTTGATGAGATGAATGTATCCGTCTTCAAATTTCTAATTACAAAATTTAAAGAGTGTTCTAGTTGGGGAAATGGTGATTACAGTTGGTGCACATCCATTTCCATACAGCTAAGGAAGTAATTTTGTTGTTTCCTTATTCTAATAGGACATGAGAATTAGTTTCACCTCTAAAGGTGGTAGACACTGTAAAGGGCAGGATACAAAAACCTTAAATAAATAAAGGTCTTCACTCAGAAGAACTACAAGCATTTTTTGTCTCGGTTCCAACAGTCTTGGCATCTGACCTCTACTGCAACACTGACCCCTACACTCCTTAAGGACACAATCCTACGCATGTTTAAACAGAAAAAAGGCCTACAATTCCTACTGTAGCATGCCATATCCACACAGGTAGTAAAAGCTAGAGTTTGGGTTCAAGATTCATTTTTCATTATGTTTGTTTTCAACGTTGTTACAAATAAGGTGACATAACACACAAAAATCCGTATGAGGCTCTCAAAATGTTACAAGCCATTAAAATTGCTCACACATGCTTATTTTACTTCATTTGAAATTTTGATTAGTAAAAGGTTTAGTGATGTTTTATTGCTGGCATGTGTTTTATGGATATTTGCTCCTTATTCTTGCATCTGGTTTCTATTATGGTGCGCTGCTTTGGTTGAGCTTCGGCTCTGAAAAGTGGCCTAGAAATATTTTAAATAAATAAATGGCAAAACACTGTATTTAAAGTTTGAATATGTTTTCTTTCTCTTTGACCAGGAGTGAACATTTTCATCATCGCTTTGCTATTTCCAACTGACAGTCCACTTCCGTTCTACTACACAAGTCCTAACTCAGCTGGGTTTTATGGGCTCCTTTGTTCCCCGGTTGATATCCATATAGACATCTCAGGCTAAATGTTTGCATACTACAGGTGCTGGTTGAGAAAACATCTGACATCTTTTCAGCAGAACTTGCCCCAAGATGGCCTGACATTTTGGCCATATACAAAAAGAACTATTAAAATAAACTTTATTTATTAAAGTTTATTTATTAATGAATGAGCCTAATCTCAAGCAAGCATTCTTACATGGCTATTATTCTTAACCTCAACTGAATTTAAGCAGAAATATTTGCACTGGAATGCAGCCACCATCTCCAAACCAACTCAGTACTTCCAACAAAGGTTTCCACTTTTCACTTCCCTCCACGTGTAACCAGTTCCATACTCTTTAGCCTCATTACTGCTTACGTTCTATCCTCATTTAGCTTTAATTCAAGATGTCAAGCTTCTAATGTTTCTAAGCAAGTCTTATGGGAGACAGATGGGAATACAAGCAAAAATGTTAGTCCATGTATGAGCAAAAGAAGAATATGAATTGTTGGAAATGGTAATAAACTCAACTGCTGATAGACAAGATTCTTCCACGTATTTAAAGTGTTACCTATTATGGGAAAATAATGGGGGGGGAGAACTTAAGGGGCAGACTGATTCTATATGAAGGTCCAACATCTCTGCCCTAAAGAGATTTTTTTCTAAACCTGTATTTGAGGAAACACTAAAGGTTGGAGGAAAAATATACAGCGGTCCCTGTATACCACCTCAAATAAACACCACAAGTCTCTATATTGCCAGGATTACTTAAATTTGGATGTTGCTACATTTTTGACAAGAATGCATATGTGTTATATATAAATGAAAAAATGGAATCATACTGGAAGAAGCCATGTTTAGTAAGATTAGTTTTGATGTTTTTTAACTGCTCCTTTTTACCATACCATTGTAAGAACTTATCGAATGCAGAATTCATTTCAACATCTGGTTTAATGTACTTTGTCCCACACTATGCTTTTGGAAAATATGCTGTGGTCGAGACATCTGGTAAAGTTCGAAAGAGACACGCTGCATGGATAATGCACTTCTATTTGTTTCTCCTGCTGTTTGCCCAAAAGTTAAGGACGAATAGTTTTGTTTTCTTTCAGTCTCTATATTCAGGGACACTAATCTCAGCTTCCTCAGTAGCAATAGGGTAACAAGAGTTTCCAAACACTGCTATGATTTTTATGTATTGTTTTTAGTGGCAAGAATTCTGAGTAAACTATTTATAACTTTGATCATTCACTGGAATGTCAAAATGACAATCTAATTGTGTTCTACACATGTGATTTCATGGGCATGAAAATACTGTTTCCAAAATCTGTAGAAGTTAGCTCAATGTACCATGCATACAAAATGACACAAGTTGAACTTCAACATGAACTAAACTTATTTGAATCACTTATTATTTTGCATGGTTAAAATTAACCCTTTGTGTTTAACGATGTTTTAGGTTGCAATCCTATACTACTTATCAGGCAGTAACCCTCAATAAATTCAATGGAACTTACTTCTAAGTAGATATATAGAGAACTACAGTATCAGAATGGTTAGCCCTGGTCTGCACAATCCAATCAGACAGCCATGGGTTGCACATGCTGCTGGTTGTGCCATGTGAATCTGGGGACAGTGAATTATGTGAAGGTTAAACAACCCTTGCATAATCCATAATCGATGGATGGGTTATGAGAGGGCTGCTTAACCCCATCCCCAAGGATACACGTGACAAATCACTACAAGGAACAGAATATGTAAATCCCACATGACTCGTTTCACAGGGGACTGTATCTTAAACAACCCAGGCTGAATGATTTGATCGTAATAACAAGGTCTTAGTCTTTCTGGATCACTTAGGATCAAGCAATCATGCCTAGAGAAAAAACAGTGGTAAGATTTTCCAGTATGAACTGCTGCTATTTTAAAAACATGAAATATAACTTTTTTAATTAGATTCTGCATGAAAAACAGAGGCGGCTAGCATGAAAAACATTCTAAACATTCAAAAGATATTGAAATATCTGTTAGGCTGCCAATTCAGAACAATATGCTGAAAGGCTCAATGGATTTTTTTAGAGCCAGCGTCTTAAAGTTTGCTTAATCAAATTTCCCGTTCTAGAATCTTAATGCAAACAGAGAAAGCCAACCATACACAGATTCACTGATATTGGAAGCATATGCCCTTCAGGAAAAATATTGTAAGTCCAAAGCATGTCCTCTTCAAGACCATTCTAAAGATCATAACATTTTCCAGTTACAGTAGAGAAAAATTGGATTGACAAAGCAATGGAAAGCAAGTTACAGCTGCTGAAAGGCAACGCCAATTCAGGCAATGAATATTATCCAGCAGGCTCTGCCCTGCCTGCCTGAGAAAGGATGTCAAATTCAGCAGCTGCTATGAAAATCTGTTCTTGTACTGCTGCAACTAAAGCAGGACTACTCAACTTGGATATAACTCTATTTGCTTGAACTATAAAAACTAAAGGCAGATGTGTGCTTGCCCAAGATGAAAAGCAGCAAACATAAGAGCGTCTCCTGTATATTGTTTGCCTCAGTTGCTGACCGTATAGCTACAAATCGTATCTTCTGAACTCACAAGCAGAAATGAAAGAAAAATCAGTGTGAAAAGCACATGCTGATGCATAAAGAAGAATTAGTCCTGTTGGTTAACCACAAGTTTTGAGTACAGGTGTACTATTGTAACGGAATAATTATAGAACCACATAAAGAAGAGATTTCTTCTACCAAACATAGTAGAACATAGGCATTAAACCATTAAACCAGATAAAGGGAGAAATGCATTCTATTTTACTGATCAAGAGTTAACAAGAGGTGAGAAAGAGTACTCATAGAGATGAATCGTGACCAGATTTATCCAAACTGGGCTTAATAAAATTTGCTTCGAGCTTCTTTCACTTTGCAGGCTAAGTTCCAAAACAGAGAGAGACACCACTACTTGGTTTCTACTGTCCCAGCCAGACAACAGTACTTCTTGGGCAACCCAAACCAACCAGGAAAACGCCTTTGGGGGCTATCTAGGAAGCATTTTGTGTAAGTACTGTGCCCTGCCTGTGCAACAATTGTGGACACAATGCCTGTGGAAGAGAACTAGGTTAGTGGAAGAAATCCACTGGATTCTGCCCACTGAAACATCATTCCTCCTCCATTCCTGATGTTCAGGTGTGAACGCCATTGGTTATGTGGCTTAAATGGCATCATCCACACATGAAGGAAGTGTCAGCAAGCCTGGGAGAACCTGGATGAACAAAAACACCAGGAACAGGGAAGAGATGGAGCATTTCAAAGGAGGGCATGGAAGACTAGAATAACAAACAGGTGTATTCTACACTGCAATGTTTTGATGCAGGCTCCTACAGCATATTTTTGTTGTTGCTAAATTTTTGCTGATTTGCTACACAGGAGCAAGAATTTAACTAGAGATGCTTATTCAATGTTGCAGGGGAAAGCTTAAGCTAAACACAAATCTACACCAGAATTCATTTCAAGAAACAATTAGGCTGGCCTGGAATCTGATGAAATCTACTTGTTACTGGAGGCCAGGCCCAGAAATACTAATTCATTTTTAAGCATAATGTAAGTTTACCATAAAGCAGAATTTCCATGTACTTTTTCTACATGTATGACCTGACATTTGTTTTCCAACACTTACTGACAAGACACCGAAAACACTTTTTTGTTGTTTAGAATGCATTCTTAAATAATTTTCAAGCACGCAGAAATACATTTTCCTCTCATAAATAGGAATATCAATCAGAAATATTATGCAAAACCTGTAGATGCACCTTTGGAGTGTTTCCCTGAAGGCCTCTTGGGTAATGACTCCTCAATGGAATGTGCTGATGTATGTAGTGCATTTTCTAAACTGTTACCAATGCTGTTTATAGGGGTCTCGGATCTTGGCGCAACCTAAGAAAGAAGAAACACACATGAAACAAACCACTCAGGCAATTTTACCCCTTCAAATTAAAATAAAGCCCCATAGATTTGCTGAAAGTAATGTTCCTGGTCGTAAGTTGCATTGTATGGTATAGCAAGTTATCCTATATGCATGCTGAGAATCAAAAAGATACTGCTTTCCAGAGTCCATTGCCATTGGAGCAGTTCTAATGCAAGGTCAAAAGACATAGTTTGGCACTGCATGTGAATCAAGTGAATATATGCAACTGATCTGATTCTGGTTCTCACATATCAGTCCCTGGCTTGTTTAACACAGGGATTGTGAGGATGAGTGGATCATGCAAGCCATTCACTTGCTTTTTCTACATTTAATTAACCCAGGATTATTGTTGTGTTAAATCTGAGTTGCTTAACCCTTGAACAATCCAGAATTCTGGGTTAGTAAGTCATGAAATAACCCTGGGTTCCATATTAAAAGCTAAAATAATGACTGTGCAGTTCATATACTCCACTTATCCTCACAGTTCCTGGGATATGTGAACAAGAGCGCTGTGACTTAAGCCCGATAAACATTTCTTTGATTTTATTAGTCTCCCATTATCAGTCTTGCTCTTTTTCCACAACCATTGCCAATTCAACAAATATGACGACTCTTTTTTATCAAGTACGCATACAGACAAAAATCTTGTGTAGTTACAAGCACAGTTGCATTAAAGTTGTTTTGGGGCTTTCCACAACTGTTCAGTAACTTTTTCTGCTGAGTACAGTATCATCTGGTGTAACATGTGGTCAAGATTCCTCAAAAGGAGGAAATTCAATCGAACAATTGCTTACCATTCAACTGTGTCTTCCAACTCTTTTCTAAAGTTACATTAGCTCCGCTGCCTTAAAAAGCAATTTAACTGTTCCCTAATTTAACTGTTCCCTAATATTTCAGTCACATTTCTTTGCTACTTTTAAGCCATCAGTCTCCTGCATCCTAACTCCACCGGCATAAAAGCCAAGCAGCCGGTACAGGGCTTCTACTGCCACTGAGATCTGACCCCAGGATCTTTATAAGCTCTTGCTCATCTTCCACCCGCACTTGTTTCCAAATCCAACAGACTTCTTACAATCCGACTCACTGCTAAATTCCTCCATTCCTAGAACCCAGATTGCCCTGGTCCCAGCCCTGCACCCTTATCACTACAGCACACTGCTTTCTTTACGCTTCAGCAAGATGTTGAGGTGGCTAATTCTCAAACTCACCATGATGTAGTACAATCAACTCTGATATGCATTTACAGAAAGTCAACTCTTTCCCCCTCTTAATTATTAGAGTCAGAACTTACTAAAAGATGATGCGAACCCTTCTGTGATAAGCCAATGACTTGCAAATTTAATTTGAAATTCCATTCCTTAAAATAAGGTGTTGCCCATATTTTGCTTCAATTTCTTCCCAGTATCAGATGCTGCAAATTTTTAATTATTTGATAACTGCTTAACTTAATAGAAAATGTGAAGAAAAAGTATTCCTTCGCTGCTGACAATAAGTTTGGGCAAACTTTATTGCATAGCAGATGTGAACTTCTCTGCAGTATGAATACGTGGAAGCTTCACTGTCAACAGGAAGTTGTGATCAGCCAAGCATGGATATTTTATTAGGCAGTTAGTAATAGCTGTTCCATCTTTGTGTTGTTCTCTGTTTTGCTAAGCCTCAGAAAATCTCTCTCTTTCCTCAACCTGGCGCCCTCCAGATGTTTTGGACTACAACTCCATGCATACCTGACCACTGGCTTTGTGGGCTAGAACTGATCAAAGAGGTGCATGCGCATCCATAAGGCACCAGGCCATGGAAGACTGCTTCAAGGCCAGGAAGGAATACAGAATGTATATTTTTGTTGTGTGCTGTACTAACAGGTATAACAGGGCATCACAAGCATGCTTTTGATGCAGTCATGAGTTAAAGCACAGGTGAAGACACTAGACTAGTACACAGCCCTCAGGGTGCCGAAGGAAAGCTCTTTGTTCAGAGAGTCTCCCATCTCCTGCATTAAATGATTCCCCTTCCAAAGTCACAGTTCATCTTAGCCCATTTTTTAAAATGTTTTTGGAAGTCTTGACTATTGCATGAAATGCATCTCACCTGACCCCTGGCTATGTTGGCTGTGGCTAAGCTTGCATTTTCTCCCCGCAGTCAAGATTGCTGAACAAACATGGGGGACTGGGATTCAGGACTGCCCCAGTTTATGAGCAAGCCTTCATATCCAACAGCATTTGGGGTACAGATACATCATTTAACAAGGACAGCTTAAGAATGTTTCAGACCCAATGTTTTTCCTGTAAAAATGATCAAGTAGCAACAGTATCTGTTCTCAAGAAGTCAGTTGATTCTAAGAGGTGAAAGTCTAATTCTTTGAAACAGAGTATAATAAAATGTTTACAATTAAAATAGATTCAAATTTCTGCTTCTTGTACACAAAGGAAAGTAAGAGGTACTAAGTCATGGAGTGATCAAGAGCCACCAATATCAATGTTCTTCACTCCATTTTTATCGCTCAGAACGCTTTCTCTCTGCCATGCTTACTAGGAAGTTAGTATTCCAGCAAGGAAATTGTAGTTATCAAGACCTTTATCAGTGTCAGGATGCACAGTATTATGTCAGAGAGTTTGCACAGGGCACTTCATTTGACATAGTACTTCCGATGCAGTTTCTACAGAACTAATAGTTATCTGTTAGGTTTACCATACAAAGCCACAATGATAAAGGGAGAAGCAAGCTTGCCTCACAAGCCACTTCTAAAGAATAGAAACTGAGTCAGATGCCTGCACACATGTTTTTTTTCTCTAATTATACGCTCCATTGACATCTAACCTGCAATTCAAAAGCCACTCACTCCTGCTTATTGATCCCAGATATTTTGATACAAGAAAAACAAGGCATGAGGAAGGGTTAGAGGTACACAGGGATAAGAACACCTGGAGGAAATAAGTCCAACCTGTAGTACTACTTTATCAGCTCCAAGTCACATATATTCAGTTGTCTCAGGCAGTTAAAAAACCTGTCAGGTACAATTGCCATTTGGCTTTACCAAGGGTCTGAATTGTTTTAACAGCTATATGGACCCAAGACTTAGTTGTCGAATGGTCACTGGACACCTGCAACTAATGCAAGTTTCCATATCCATCTGCTTTATAACAGAACTTTGCTCCCAAGCCTGCTCCTCCATGTGAAAAACCAAAGACCGCTCTCTGCCCTTCCAGTATTAACCTACCACACGTAAGAAACCAACCACTCTTTTAGTCCATAGCATACAAAAAGCAGTTCTACATTTCAGTGTACTCTACTTGGGGCCCACTACGGAACAGCTTCCGATCACAGGGCATGGAACCCCCCAAGTCAATCGATTTAAAGGCAATGCCAACTTCTGGTGGAAAGATATCCATAGCTGGGAAGCTGGACATGGGAAGCAGTGGGTGTGAGGTCCATACAGAACATCTGGGAGGGAGGTGGGATAACGGGACTGGTGGTTTTGGTGGCCCACTGGCTACCAGCCACTCGATCATCTTTCCCAGCTGCATCCCACTAGGTGGCTCCTACCCCATCAGGATAAAGCATGATCTTTGCTCTTCCGGGAAGGGAAGTCCAAGCGTACGATACCCACCTTGTGACAACCAGGACATGTTCCCATGGTGCTAGGCGTGGGAGTGCAGGGGCTTTTGCTGGTACTGGCAATGATGTTTTGGATCTTGGTGAGCTCTTGCCTCAGCACCTGCTTTTGGTGAAAACTGAAGGCAGGATGGTTGGAGGCCATAGTGAAGAGCAGCAAAAACTCGTCCCCAGTCCGGCCCTCGTTGAGCTGCAGCCCATAGTTGTGGATGACCGAGTCAATGTGGGTGAGGGTGCGGAAGAGGACCCCCGCCGCCTCCCGGTGCGAGGAGCCCAGGAGCGCGAGGGAGACCAGGAGCTTGCTGCGCACCACCTCATCCGTCAGGTTGGTGAGGCTGCCCAGGTCGGCCGGGTTGTTGGCCTTGATCTCGGAGTCCCGCAGCGAGTGGTAGTCCTTGCGGGCCAGGTCCTCCAGGCAGGCGCCCAGGAAGCGCAGCTCGAGCGGGATGCACAGGTCCAGCAGGCCGCAGAGGAACTCCACCCGCTGGGGCGAGGGCAGCTCGGAGAACCAGCGGTACACGCTCTCTCTCTGCAGCCGCGGGCACCGCTTCTCTACCATGCTGCTGGCGGTCGCCACCAGGGGCAGCGGGACCCCCCCGGGTCAGAGGGCGGCCGGAGGCGGCGAGGGCGCGGGGCGGCCGGGCCCCCGCTCGGGCCCGAGCCGGGGCGGCCTCCGCGCGATGAGCCGCCCGGGGGGCACCCGGGGGGGGGGGGGGGCGAGGGAGGCCTAGGCCCGTGCCTGGCGGCGGAGGCGCGAAGGCCTCTCTGAAACTGCCCCCAGGACTGCCTTCCGCGCCTCGCGCCTCTCCTCCTCCTCCTCCTCACGGGGCGGCGGCGCTTTCCCCCCGCCGCAGCCCGGGTCCCTCCATCCCTCGCTCCGGCCGGGCGGAGGGGAAGGATCGCCCGCCTCCGCGCTCGCCCGCTCCCGCTTTTTGTGTCGGCGCCTGCCTCCGCCGGCCCGTCGCCCCCGCGCCCCGCTCGCCCCGCGCCCGCCCGCCGCGCCTGCCCCTCCCCCGCGCCCGCCCGGTCCAACCGCCACTAGCGCGGCAAATAATCCCCGCGGTCGGCAGTCGCGGAGGCGCACGCGCCGCTGTTGCCTCCTCCGCCGTTATGTGTGTGAGAGATTCCAAGGGCGGAGGGATTCCTTCCGCTATAAGTGAAAAGGCCCGGCCGGCTGGGGAACGAGGAGGCGGAGCCGCAGGAGGGGGACGAGACTCCCTGCGCGCGCCGCCCCGCCCACTCCGCCCTCGGGCGCGCCGCGATTGGCCCGCGCTTCCCCACCCTCCCTTTCTTCCCTCCTCCCTGCCTCCCCCCGCGTCGCCCAGCTAACGGGAACCGCTCGCGCCCGTCGCCCAGACGCGGCTGTCAATCACTCCTGGCTAGCGGGCCGCTATTGGCTCAAGCGCCGGGGGAGGAGGGAGGAGGGGGCGTGGCGTGGCAGCCGGAGTTCTGTTTCTGTGCGTGTTCGGGGCACGTGCTGCCTTGCCACGGTACGGCTGAAGGCGAAGCGCCCGAGCCAATCGGAGGGCGCGAACGGGAGGGACGGAGGGGGCGCCGGTAGCCTAGCAACATGGCGAGGAGGCGGGAAAGGCTGCCTTGCGGGAGGAAGCGGGGAGGGGGCGAGGAGCGGGAGAAGCGCCGGTCGCCTAGCAACGGAGGGGGCAGGCACGGCGGAGCCCTTGCTTTGTGCCTGCCCGCGCGCATGCGTGCTATCCGGAGTGGGGGGCTCGAGGGGCCGGGGTCGGACGCGCCGCTCCGCACATGCGTCCCTCCCGTGGCTGCGCCGGCTTCGCCCGAAGGGCTCCCAGCGGGCTGGACCGCAAGGTCCCGCGGGGGCTGTGCCGAAGCGCCTGGCCTTGCGGGGGGCATGGCTTCGTGAATCACCGCGCCGCGGAGGGAGCCCGCTGCCCTCAGGGCAACGCTCGCTCGACCCCCACGATCCGTGCAAGAGGCCACGCGAGACGGTCCGGGGAAGCCGCTGCATGAGCCCTCAGCCGCGGAGCGGAGCGGGACGGGTCTTCTTGCATCCGGTTCTCTGGCCCCGCAGAAGCTCAGCGGTGCCGCAGGTACCATCGGGCGCGACCCTGGAATTCCTGAGCGCCTAAAACAGAACAGAAGCAGCCCTGATGAAGACGTCTTTGGAATGCAAAAGCTCGCATACCTTTGCAGCATTCGAAGAAAGGCATTATTTGACAGTGGATGCTGCAGAGCAGTAACATCGGGCACATTCTCTGAAAGTCAGCCGGCATCTGCTAGAGATGTAGGACTCGGTGATGGATTCGATGTAGATTTTATGACTCCGACAGCAGCCTAGGTTTTTCTAAGCCACACAGCCTGCAGACTTGGGTTTCACTTTGTGGTACTTGGCTAATTTACACTGGAAGCTCCGCACTACTGTGTGCACACACAACTGCGCATTCAAATTAGTGCTCATTATCATTCATGTCTATACCTGGACAAGTGTGTATCAGCATTAATGGGAATTAGCACAAGGAGTTTGAAATTCGGGCTTTGAACGAACTCTGATTCTTTCAGAGAGTGGACAGAGACAATGCACAGAACAGAAGGGGTTTAAGAAAATGAATACATTCCCCCTCACTGTCGCTAATACATCGCTAAACTGCCAAATGCAGCAGAACGTTCAGCGAATTGTGTGGTACATCCTCTGACCACAATGAGCTGCAACAAGCGGGCCCATTTCCCATCCGTGCGCTAGAAAACGGTTCCGAATTCTGGAGCGGTGCTCTATGCTCGTCTCCCAGGGAATTAACATCAGAGTGGAGATGCATAGATGGCACTATAACATAACAGAATGTATGAAACAGGAAAACAAGGGCTGCTTGTCTTTCTGCTCTGTGCCCAGTTCAAATGGTTGGATCGCTGTTACTCTGTTAAAGGTGGCGCATTGTTCCGTTGGATTTCTCTGGAGTAAGAATGCGAGTTCATGGTGGGAACTTCAGCCACTTTAGCTTGGAAACGTGCAACGAATTGGCTTTTTCGAATCCCAGCAGGATAAAAAGGAATTTATGGACTGTATAGTCCTGGGTATTTTTCTGATGACCTTATTCCTGCACAATAAGACATCCTCATGGATTTTTTCAAATTTGGTGCGGGACTTTGCATTGTATTCTTCCTGGACTGTTCTTTGAATTTGTGCCTTCGTGGATCCTGACCTTCAGTTCAAGCTAATTCCTGTTTGAATCTCTTCGAATTTGCTACAAAGTTGGATTCCACCTATTTGACCCCACTGCCAGCATTATGTCAAATTAAGTTGAATAACTTCCGATCTCATTCCTAACACAGCGGATGGGAAATGTTTCGAACCTCGGTTTCCTCTGAGAATCGTCAGTGCCTCTCTTTATTAAACTGAGCCCCCCGAATGGCATAGGAATCCGGGCATTCAGATTACGGAACCCCATCTGGCCTTCCAAAGTTCTTGTTCTCTGGAATTACCCAAAATAGTCAGAAGTGTAAGCATGAAGGAAGCCAGATCAAATATTTTAAATTATCTCCTCCCACTTGTATTTTATAGTAGACCAGTGCCAGGCCACCAAATTTAGATAACTGCTGTTCTGATAGATTTCATTTACGTTTCTTTTTCTCACTAAAAGAGGTGGGCAGCGTAATCCTTGGGCTTCAAGCCAACTCCTATTTTTATTATCGTGATTATTATTATTACAACTACTACATTCCCTTTGCAGTAAATCCTCTCCTTTTTCCTTTTGTGAAAAGCCCAAGGCGGCTTCCTCTTTCCCCCCGTTTGCAGCTGGCACAGACAGACGAGCTGCAAACAGGGAACGGCAAAAGTGGCCTCAAGAAGGGTTCTGGGGGGTGGTCTGGTAGGTGGGGGGGCGGAGACTATTGTCCCAAGATGCACCGCAGCAGTGCCTCGGCCCCCTTCTTTCCTGCTCCAAAGTGCTATAGGCTCTGGGCTCAGTATCAACAGTATCAAACTGTTGATACTGAGCCCAGAGGCAACCTTTGCCCCCCCCCCCCCCCCGGCCGGATGCCTGTAATCCTGAGTTTGGAAGGTCACCGGCATCCCCTCAGGATGGTCCCCAGCTGATTTCTGTGTGTGCAGCTGAGACAAATGTAATATTTCCCTATGTATTCTTGTTCCTCCTACGAAGAAATCCTGCCTTGAGATTCCAAGGATCAAGAGAGGATAACGATCCGCCAATCATTCTGGATATAGTGAATGTGATGTATGAGAATCAGGGATTTGGTTGCTGCAGTGTGTGTCGGTCAGACACTTTTGCTCACACAGATCTCCGAAAGGATTTCAAATGGCCAACCAGCTTGGAACGACTCTCGTGAGGAATGTCAAGAAACCAAGCGAAACACCCTACAATTAGAAACTGCAATGGGAAACAGCACTGTTTGAAGACTTGCTTTCATGGGAGTGAGCCATATCCGGCTATCGGGGACTGTCATCATGTGATCTGTTCTCATACCTGCGCCCGCATGAGCCCGACAAGGCGTGTTGGGCCCTGCTCTCCGGCCTGCCAGCCAGAGTGGTTAAGTCAGCCGGAAAAGACAGGGCTTTCTTGGTGGTGGCCCACCGCCTTTGAACTCTCTCCCCCGGTGGCTCTGTGGAAGGGTATGCAGTGGAGCAGCCATGACTGTGGCTCCAAGAGGATTTGTGGCGTGCGGTTCTGCCAACGGCGGGGGAGAACGCCACTTCGCGGGTCGGAAGAGGTGAGGGCCGTGGGCGGCTCACGGGACGCAGGAGCAGATGCGTCCGCGTGGCTCTCACTCCATGGGCTGGCGCTGCTTGTCTGCTGATGCATCAGAGACCTGGGAGGGAAACTCGGGAGGGCCAAGGGGCCGTCCGTGCCGCCACTGCCCTCTTGTGGGGGATTTGTGGTAGCACGCCACATGCTTTCCTCTGTGCCTTGCTCCTTGGCAGAAAATGAAAATATGCCCATACTTGGAAGAAAACGCTGCTGAAGGAAGGAAGGGCTTCGAGGGAAGGTGATGACACCGCGAGCAGAATAACTGGATTCTGCAAATATCCAACAGTTATGAGAGATTAAAAACATCATTGTGTGTCTGTCTTCCTGTGATGCCGTTTATTTTCCCACATATCCTGTCTGTTTCCCAAGGCAGCTTGCAGTCTTCCTCCTCTCCAGCGTATCCTCACAACAACCCTGTGAGGTAGGCTAGGCTGAGAGTCGGTGCCAGGACCAGGTAGGGAAATAAGGGAGGAGACAGTCCCTGAGGTATCCAGGCCTCAGACCTGTTAGGGCTCCAAAGGTTCAAACACACTCTTTAATCAAAATGTCTCTTTATTTTAGCAATGGCCATGTGACAGAGAGGAGCGTAGTTGTTCATTAGCTGTCAGCCATTGCTTCAAAATATGTGCACACTGCTACCTGATCACCAGCCTTTAGGTATCGCAGTCCTTTTCAGCATTTGTTTCTTGCTAATTACTTTGCACATGCCTAGATGCCTTCTAACTTCCAGCATTCCCCACTCAGCATCCATTCATAGGACCGTGCCCTAAAACATAATGGGAACAATTAATGAGTACAATTAAGGTTGCCATCCTGAACTCCACTGAAGACGTTTCTGAGCGATAGTGTGACGAGATCTCTGCTTCCTGTCGCTT